TAAAATTATTACACAAACAAAGATCAATAGATCATATAAGAGATGACACTGCTCTTTAAGGGACACTGAAGGCACTATAACCATTTAATCTCTTCGAATTGGTTACAGTACTTGTAGTCTCTTGGGGCTGCTCCTCCATTTAGTGTTAAATTATTTTCTTACTGCTTAATATTAATAAAGGTCTCCAGCCACCAACAACCTGCCCCGTAATGGAGGTGTGGTTAAGGCAGAGATCATACACTACCTTGTAGCGACACCAGTTACTACTGGCAATGGGTTTGGTGATAAGCTGAATGTCTCAACCAATCACAGTTGGCTATTGCTACTCAGACTAAAGCTTCCTCATTAGCCCAAGCAGCACAGGGGATGGTATGCTAAGGACATTTAATAATAAAATATTAAAAAATATATTTTACTGAATGTAAGGATTGCACCCGAGGACTCCAGACGCTATAACCTCTTTAATGAGATGAAGCCGTTCAAGTGCCTACAATGTCTGTTTGAAGTTTATATTAAACATATACTTGGACCTCACAACAGAAAATCAGAGAAAAACAACAATCGGCAGCAACTGAAAGAGGAATATCAACTCCGATATGTCTTACAGATCTACATTTGTTCTAGTGTTATTAATAGCATGTTAAGATTATTATTTATTTTTTTAAAGATGGTATATAATATGATTATTTGATTTTCTATTGCAGACTTAAAGGACCACTATAGTGCCAGGAAATCATACTCGTTTTCCTGGCACTATAGTGCCCTGAGGGTGCCCCCACCCTCAGGGACCCCCTCCCGCCCGGCTCTGGAAGGGGGAAAGGGTTAAAAACTTACCTTTTTCCAGCGCTGAGCGGAGAGCTCTCCTCCTCCGATCCTCCTCCTGGGCTGAATGCGCACGCGCGGCAAGAGCTGAGCGCGCATTCAGCCCGTCGCATAGGAAAGCATAGGAAAGCATAGGAAAGCATTTGTGAAAATCACAGTGAGAAGCACGCAAGCACCTCTAGTGGCTGACAATGAGACAGCCACTAGAGGATTAGGGGGAAGGCTTAACCCATTTATAAACATAGCAGTTTCTCTGAAACTGCTATGTTTATGAAAAAATGGGTTAACCCTAGAAGGACCAGGCACCCAGACCACTTCATTAAGCTGAAGTGGTCTGGGTGCCTAGAGTGGTCCTTTAAGGGAATCCTGATTTACAATGGAACCTCATCAACTAATTCATATATTAAAGGACTATTTTAATGACATAGGGTTGCTTAACTCAAATATGTTGGTTCCTTTTTGAGTGTAATTTTACAGTGGAGTAAGCATTTACATTACTTTATTTGGCTAATATTAATTCTATTTTTCCCATTTGACTGTGCTTATTTGATTTCATTTGATCAGTGATGTTTGAACCTTTCCACTACTCATAACATTTTGTGTGTCTCTGGGCTTCTGAGCTATTCAGATTCCTGGGGAGGGAGATATGAGGTTCATGAAGTAGTTTTTATGTTCTGCAGCACATGCAAACTATTCATATGAATATACATTATGCAGAATGTAAACCTAATCTCTGCTTGTCAGTGCAATTAGATACATATTTTTAAATATTTTTTAATCCATAAACTGCTATTAGTCATACCTCATCATGAACCTTGCTTAGCGATTAACACACTGAGATAGCATTTGAAAAAATGTACTCACCATTCAATAGTGCACCTGTCTTTGGCAAAAATAGGTCAAGACAGGTACAGTAAAACTTCGATTTCATCAAGTAGCTTCTCTTTTTTTTAAACTGATTCATTTTAAATTGGTCTAAACCACGGGTCCTCAAACTCCGGCCTCCCAGATGTTGCCGAACTACAACTCCCATGATTCTTTGAATTACATAGATAGCCAGAGAATCATGGGAGTTGTAGTTCACCAACATCTGGGGGGCCGGAGTTTGAGGACCCCTGTTCTAAACCATAAAAATCTGGTTAAAAAGTAATAATAATTAGCCTGACATCTGTAATTATTTGATTATTGTTCCCCTTTCTGGTAGATTGCCACACGAAGAAATTTGCTGCACATTTAAATATGCATAATATGGCATGTATTCTTGCTGGGAATCAGGATATGCTATAATGTTATGAAATAAACATTATTACGGTAAATACTTTAGAAGAATTTACAACAATACAACAGTACAATGTCCTTAAGTATTAAGACTGCCTCAACCTCACTAGAACATATACTTAAATTTCTGTAATTATGACCTTTATAATGTTATTTAACTCAAGACCATGCTGCTCTTGAGCTTAAGAGATAGATCAACCAAAGAGTCAAGTTAGTTTTATTTCTGATTTCCCAATGAAATCTGATAATGACGGAGGAAAATGGAGGAACATGCCTACATACAAAAAAGAAATACTGGAAGTTACCCGGTATATAAACGAGAATACTAGCAAGTTCTATCCAGCACATGAAGATGACTGATCCATGTCAAAACCCATCTACTGCACTTGTACTTTGGTTTTGAAACTTTGAGGCTGTTTTTATAATATAAAGTGCACAAAGTGGCAAAGTAGCCCTTTTCTATTGTTTTTATATTTATCATTGGTTTAAAATTGTTTCAATAAATATCCATATCACTGTATCCTTAGTCCTGTGTCTTGGAAAGCAGAGGAGACATCTTAAATGTGAATTGGCACCTTTGGGCTACCTATAGAAAGCCGGGTATGGCTCTGAGCCATGTGAGTGTGATTCCATCTTGCATCACTTCAAATTTAATTCTAACAGATTACAATACGTTACATTTTTGTTTATATTTTGAGATTAATTAGATTGGAGAAAATTGATCACACTTGTGGAATATCAAGTATTCTATGTATACACTGTGTGTGTATGTTGAGTTGTATTTACTCATGCAGATGGTTTAAAGTGTGGGGTATTATACAGAAACATATATTCTATGTCATGTAATAGAACAAGCTAATAGAAATATATTATTAATATAGATAGAAGTTAATATAGTTAAGCATAACAAGCAGGCAAATTGGTTGGTTTACTTTAATTATTTGAGGGCCAGGGTATCCAATGGGAAGATCTAGAAGGATTCTCTACTCAAACATTTTTTATGTCTGTCACCTCCTTTTGGGGACACAGGGATACTACCAATTTCCATAATTCTGAGCATTGGCAAAGTGTGCATTTTCTATTGAAAATGTGTGGCCACTGGTTGAGCGGAATGGCCTTCAATACGAGCAAATCAGTGTTCGTGAATCCTTTCCCATAAATCATTCATATTTTTCCTAACATAAGATAGTCCACATGGGCACTGCCACTTATACAGTGTGAACTTAGTAGTGCAGGAAATTCTATTTTTCATACTATATTCTCTGCCATTATATGGAAGATAGAACATTGGTTGAATGTGACGCAACTGAGACACTGATAGCAACTGTGTAATGTGCAAGAAGATGTAGCAATGTTAGTGTGTATTAAAAGGTCTTTAAGATCAGAGACACGTTTGTAGCTAATGAGGGGTGGGTTTTTAAAAATCACATATACATACACATAAACACATATACATACATGCACATGAGTTCAGGAGGGTATGCCATCACATGTATATTTAGTTAATACATTGCTAAACACAAATACGCACACCAGTCAAGCCAGAAGACTTGCTTTTCCCAGAGAAATCTCACTTTAACAGTGCTCTCACTACTGCAAGGGATTCTGTGTAGGCATTTGCAAATGAGTTAAACCATGAACCACATTTTTGCCTCATAATTCCACTTTATACATGGATTCCTTGGATTTTGTGTCTGCTGTATACAACAGCTTTGAAACACAACTCAGGAAGAGGAGCAAAGCCAGTGAACCACTGCAATAGGAGTCTAGGAGCTGCCCACAGGGGGACTGTCTGAGCTGTCAGACAGTCCCCCAGGCTGCTAAAAAGTAAAAAAAAAAAAAAGTATATATAATAGAAAATTTATTCATACTTACCGTAATTTTCTTTTCCTGGTCATAGGCCATGGCAGCACAACATTGGGTAGCTCCTCCCTATCCTCATTGGACAGGAATAATAATTAAGCCGTATAAGTACCACCTCCTACCCCTCCTTCCCCAGTCATGTTTTACAGCAATAGCCCCGGGTGGGACCCTTGTGCTGCCATGGCCTATGACCAGGAAAAGAAAATTACGGTAAGTATGAATACATTTTCTATTTTCCTGGCCATATCCATGGCAGCACAACATTGGGTAATACCCAAGCAATAAACCAGGGAGAGAAGAAGACACAGACTTGAAAATGTTGAATGCAAAGTGTATTAACACCATTAACAAGTGATAAATAAAGAATCATGTATCGGATACAGACAGAACTGATTTAGCAAATTGATCTGATAGACCTGCTCTAACATCAATTTGATAACTTCTAATAAAGGTATTGGTGGAAGACCATGTGGCCGCCTTACAAATGAGTTCAGGAGAGACATTAGCCGCTGCTGCCCAGGAAGATGAGAGGGCCCTAGTGGAATGGGCTTTAAGACCCACAGGGACCGGATATCCAGAAGTTTGATAAGCCCGTATAATGGCTGCCACTATCCACGTGCTAAAGGTAGATTTAGGGGCTTGCAAGCCTTTTCTACTACCACTATGAAGGACCAAGAGACTTTGAGAAATGCGCCAAGCAGCAGTCCTTTCAATAAAGATACAAAGGAATCTCACTAGGTCCAGAGATGACAGGTCAGTTGAATTCTCGCTTTCTTGACATTCAGGCCTCAGAGATGAGAGAACAATATCTTCGTTAATGTGAAAGGCGGAGGAAACTCTCCTGCCGGAAGCTAGGGCGATCAGCAAAGCTGTCTTGATAGACAGAACGTGTAGAGGAACTGATTCAAGAGGTTCAAAGGGTTCTAATTTTAAGGCGTTCAGAACCAAAGGGAGATTCCAGGAGGGAACAAATGGCTTAATTAGAGGTTTAATTTTAAGGACTCCTTTAATGAATCTAATAACATCTGAGTCCAACGCCCATCTATGATTGGTTAAGGCGGACAAAGCTGAGACGTGCACTTTTAGTGTATTATAACTCAGACCTTTAGAAAGTCCAGACTGTAGGAACTCCAAAATATCCGTGGAAGAGGGATTCTGCAGATCAATGTTTTTAGGAAGAGCCCAGGCGGAAAAAACTTCCCACACTCTATAATAAGTGGCTGAAGTGGAATGCTTACGTGCCTTCAGCATAGTTTCTATTACGGCCTGGGAGAATCCTTTGTTCACAAGCCTGTTCCTTTCAGTCTCCATGCCATGACATTTAGTGAGACCGGGTTTGGATGCAACACTGGGCCCTGGAACAGTAGATCCGGAGTTCTGGGAAGTGGGAGAGGAGGTTCTACTGAAAGATTTTGAAGCAGGAGAAACCTAGGCCTTCGAGGCCAATAGGGTGCTATCAGGATGAGAGATACCCTCTCTGTTCTCATCCTCCTCAGGATTGGGAAGATCAGTGGAAATGGAGGGAATGCATACCCTATTTTGAATCTCTAGGGACTGGATAAGACGTCTCTTCCCAGTGCTAGATGGTCTTCCTCTTTCGTGAAGTAATCCTTCACCTTCCTGTTGACACGAGTAGCTAGTAGGTCTATTTGAGGGAGACCCCACTTGTCCACAATCATGCGGAATACTCTGTCCGATAGGCACCATTCTCCTGGGTCTATCCTGAATCTGCTGAGGAAATCTGCCAATTGATTCCGTTTCCCTGGTAGATGGATGGCTGTAACGCCTGCCAAGTTCCTCTGCACCCACCCCATCAGTTGTTTCATAATCACCATCATCTTGCCACTCCTGGTGCCTCCTTGGTGATTGATATAGGATACCACGGTGGTGTTGTCTGTCCTTATCTTTACCCATTGATCTTTGAGATATACCGAGAAATGCTTCAGTGCTTTGAGGACTGCAAGAAGTTCTAGCAGATTGGAATGCACATTGTTTGTCATGAAACTCCATTTTTCCTGTGCAAAGTCGTGGAGACAATGGGTGCCCCATCCCCATTGACTGGCATCTGTTGTCACTGCTATCCATGTGATGTCTCCTAGTGAAAACCCCCTGGAAAGGTGTTCTTTGTTCAGCCACCAGATCAGAGAATGGTGTACGGCCCAGGATAACTTGATGGGTTGGAGTAGATTCTTGGAAGAAAATTGCATCAGGAAATTGGCTTGAAATGGTCTTATCCTCCATTGTGCCCATCTAGTCAGCCCTGTCATGGATGACATAGATCCGAGGAGGCTCATTACTGCCTTTGCAGGAACAATACTGGACTTAATCATCTTTCTTAATTGTATCCTGAGCTTCAATATTCTTGCCATTGAAAGTTGGACAGTACCCCTCAGAGTGTCGAAGTGAGCACCTAAATAAATCATAGATTGAGTTGGGTGGAGGTGGCTCTTCTTGGTGTTGATCTTCCAGCTGTGGGCTTACAGAAACTGAATGCTGGTAATAGTTGGGAGGTCAATGAATCCTCGCTGTTTCCTACAATCAGGATGTCGTCCAAATAATGATAGATAGCGATATTCAGCTTTCTTAGTTCTGCAATCAGAAGAACCAACACTTTTGTGAACGTCCTTGGGGCTGTGCTTAGTCCAAACGGGAGTGCTCTGAACTAGAAATGACCCTCTTCCACGGCAAACCTCAGAAACCTTTGATGGGATAGGGCAATGGGTATGTGGAAGTAGGCGTCTAACAGGTCTATAGATAACATCCATTGGTTGGGTGAAACCACTTTTATAATAGACTGTAGGGATTCCATCTTGAATCTGCAAATGTGTAGATGCTTGTTTAATCTGTGTAGATCCAGAATAGGTCTCCATCCTCCTGAGGATTTCTTTGTTAGGAAGATGTGAGAGTAGAATCCCTGATTTCTGTTGTCTGCCGGCACAGTTGTGATGACTTTTTCTGCTTGTAAGGATAGAATGAAGTTTTGTAGAGCCATACGCTTCTCTTTGTCCCCTGGCCACTTTGTGAGATGAAAAGACCTTTTGGGAGGATGCTTGAAGAATTCTAGAAGGTATCCTCTCCGAATAATATCCAGTACCCAGCTGTCGCTTGTGGATTTTTCCCATATGTGTAAATATTGGAGAAGACAGGCCCCGACCCCTTCAGACTTGGGAATTATATAGTCATGAATTCCTAGGGTTCTTGGAGGAAAAAGCCCCTCGCGACTTGCCTCCTCTTCCTCCAGATTGGGCTCCTCTCCCTGGTTGAAATCTGGAATATTCTCTACTAGGCTTGTAAGATCTACTATCTTGAAAGGAATGATACTCTTTTCGGGCACGAAAGGACCCTTTATATTTCCTTTCTTGAGGTAGAAAGACCTTATTACCTTCAGCCGCTCTCTTTATACATTCATCTAAGTTCTTACCAAACAACATATTTCCGTGGAATGGTAAAGAACATAAACTATTCTTGGAGGAAGTATCAGCTGCCCAAGACCTGAGCCAAAGTGCCCGTCTGGAGGAAATCGAAAAGGACATATATCTAGCAAGATTTCTTACTAGATCCACTGCTGCTTCGGACGAAAATTCAATTGCTGAACGCATATCTCTTAGGCTATCCACAATGGAGGAATGGCTTCTGCCACTCCTGATGTCCTCCTCCAGTTCTTGTATCCATACTTTCATAGCTCATGTGACTGACGTGAGAGCAATGGCAGGGTGGAGACTTGCGCCTGAGGATACATAGGACTTGGAAAGGTAGTACTCCATTTTACGATCCATCGGGTCCCTGAAGGAACCAGCATCGTCCACAGGTAGGGTAGTATGTTTGGCTAACCTGACAACTGCAGCATCAACCTTGGGTGCAAAATCCCATGCTTCAGCATCTTTGGGCTTGAATGGGTATAACCTGGAAAATTTCCCTTTGGCAGATGATCTCCTATCAGATCTGGACCATTCCTCCTTAATAAGATCCCTGATAGTGTCATACACCCGGAAAGCCGCTCTTTTTTCTCCTAAGATCAGAGAAGTAGCGATTGGATGTAGAGGGTTCCTCCTCTTAGGGTTCCTTTAACGTAAGGGTTTCTCTAACCCGGGCAATTAAATGATCCACTTCTGCTGGTGCCAGGAAGTCTGGATCTGGCATAGCATCCTCCTCCGAGGAAAAAGCTAGGTCTCTCAGTGAAGCTGAATCCATAAACTCATCTTCTGAGTTTCCTGGAGAAAAATCTGAGGGCTCAGAATATCTAGGTCGCTTGTGGGTCATTCCAACCTCTTTTATACACTGGGCAACTGCATGCTTTATAAGTTGCATAATGTCCAGTGTTGGTTGAGAAGGTCCTGCAGCTGCTGAGAGACAATCTGAATAGAGACGTTTCCCTTCTATGGCTCTGTTGTCACAAGATATGCATAGCGTCCTTTTGGGCGACTTACCTTTGGACTATCCTGAAGTCTTTGTACTTTTAGCACTAAAATACACAAGACATGCTTTGAGTACACTCTTTTTTTTTTTTTTTTTAAGAGATGGCTTACCTATATTGCTTTGATTGTGACCTATTGTGAGATGAATCCGATTCCTTGGATCTTGTATGAGAATCCATCTGGAAATGATTGACGGAACAGAAGAACTTAAACCAAGAAGAGAAAGGAAAAATAAAAAGAAATAATGTGGGGAAAAATAAAATACTTACTTTGTCCCAGGAAAGAAAATTGGAAAAGGTGAAGAACTGACAGTACTGTTAAAGTTCCAAAATACCAGAATGCTTCCTTGCAGGGAATAATCAGCTTGCAACAAAATTGCAGTTTGGTGCTTTAAATAGGCGTCTGACATCACTGTGCATTCACTAGGAACCGAAAATTCAAGCGAACGGCTTAAATTGGCTTTGCGGGCGAACGTGATTAGTTCGCGTTCGCGCGCTTATTTGTCTGATACCGCGCGAACGCTCAGATATTCCCGAATGCCACGCATGCGCCCAGGAATCCCCAAACGACGCGCATGCGCCCAGGAACTCCTGAACGCTGCGCATGCACCCAGGGAACTCACGAACACCGAGGAAGCTCACGAATGCCATACAGATGCCCTGGAACCTGCGAACGCCTTTTGGAGATCACAGAACGCCGAGAGGGTACCCTGTGGACTCTGCAGGCATCCAGAAAGATGAGAAATTAAGGCTTACTTACCGGCTGAATGCTCCTGGCGGTAAGTTTAAATCATATCAACCTCATACCTTATTTCTGGTGGGAAGGTCCAAACTTATAATTTCAATAAGTAATGTAATTGGTCCTTTTACTTGCTACCCCTGAGGTCATTGCAAGATAGTGGAAAGGAAAAACCCCTGGTCACTAAAGGGGTTTTCTCCAGGGGGACACCTTTGCGCAGGGCCGTATACTGGAGACTTTCCAGGGGAGAGAGGGTGAACTCCCCAGGGGCTGGAGGAACTAATCCCCAGGTAAGTCATAAAAGAAAATTTTACGGTCCTAAAGACCGACATGTCCTAGAGGATAGGACAGGAAAAAAAGACTGGGGAAGGAGGGGTAGGAGGTGGTACTTATACGGCTTAATTATTATTCCTGTCCAATGAGGATAGGGAGGAGCAATGTTGTGCTGCCATGGCCAGGAAATATATATATATATATATATATATATATATTTGATTTCATTCTAAGTGTACTTTGAGATATATACACTTATAATGAAATCATATATATATAATATATAATATAAATGCTTTAATTATAATATATTATACATATATAGGAAATAAAAGTGTGTGTGTGTATATACACACACATACGTATTATATACACACGTATTATATGTATATGTGTATATATGCATATATATACATATATACATACATACATACACACGTATTATGTGTGTGTGTTTGTGTGTGCGTGTGCATGTGTGTGTGCATATATATGTATGTGTATATATATATATATATATATATATATAGAGAGAGAGAGAGAGAGAGAGAGAGAGAGAGAGACACACACACACACATATATATATATATATATTTATATATATATATATATATAAAACATTTATAAAAAAACAAATAAAAACACTAAATTTGGCCAGCATTTGTGCCTAAGTGGCTACTACAAAAGACTGGAGATACCCCATTTGGAATACCCTGGGCTATCTACATTTGAAAATAGTGTGCCATGTTGGGGTTATTTCAGATTCCTGGGCTACTATATGGTCTCAAAAGGTAATATAACTTGTGTTAATTTTGACAGCAAATGGTTGCAAAATAGCAAAGTGCTTGTACTTATAGCACTATAACTTTCCAAAAAAGATAAAAACATGTTAACAATGGGTATTTCTAAACTCAGGACAAAATTTAGAAACTATTTAGCATGGGTGTTTTTCGGCGGTTGTAGATGCGTAACAGATTTTGGGGGTCAAAGTTCAAAAAGTGTGTTTGTTTAAATTTTTCTTTATATTTCATTTTTTTTTTTAAAGGAAATTATATAATATGATGAAAATAATGGTACCTTTAGAAAGAGAAAATGGTATATAATATGTGTGGGTACAATAAATTAGTAAAAGGAAAATTACCGCTAAACACAACACAAACATTGCAGAAACACAAACACAAACATCGCAGAAATGAAAAGAGCCCTGGTCCTTAACGGTAAGAAAATAAAAAAATGGTCTGGTCACTAAGGGGTTAATCTTTTTAAAGTTTCAGTATTAACATATTCTGCATTAAACACGACATCAAATTCCCTAAATTAAATTTGCATTAAAACACTATATTAGTCTCTCATAATCTATCACTGTGGTATGACTTTGAAACACAGCAGCAATAATCTATTATTTTCTCCAGTTTGTTTGTAGAGTGAAAACAGAATTCCTTATTAAGAAATACGCTACTATGCAAGAAAGCTAATTAAGCATTAAAACTATAACACTGTATGAAAGTATATATTTAAGATGCCATTTGGAAGTTAAATGGCAAAAAGATATACTGTGTGTTGTAAACAGAAGCTACATGACAATAGGATACATTTTACCATGGCAAAGCGTGACAAGAATTATTGCTATCTCCATGGATTTTTATGCAATAAATACTATGTACATTGTATTTAATTATATGTAATAAAGTAAATATGGTTTATGTAAACTATATCCTCTTGATTAATTGCAGCCGGTTTAGTCTCACTCCCAATCAAAAATTTTAATGAAAACTTATGCAATTTGTTGGATATTTTTTAGGTCCATTATTACACGGTTCAGTAGACTCTGGTGGCACGAGGGGATAATAGTCATATTGTAGGAACCTCTGTGTATTCATTATTGAGTGCCAGCCCATCTTAAGTAATATATTTTGATAGGTATGTGTTAGATCAGATAGGTTCCTGCATTAAAAGAAACACTATTGTCACCCAGACCACTTCATTCTAATGAAGTGGTCTGGATACAGTGGTCTTTTTTATTTTTAACCCTAAAAAGTAAAACACTGCAGTATTTTTTAGAAACTGCAATGTTTACATTGCAGGATTAAACCCACCTTTATCATCTGTCTTCCTCCACTAGAGGTGCTTTTATCTGCAGACCAAGTAAAAATCGGTCTGGGATTCAAATGCTGCTGGTGGAAGCATCTGGGTGATGCTTGGCTGTACATTCTTATCTCTAATTCATTGCTTCCCTATGATAAGCAATAGGTTTTAGGATATCGTGGGTGATGTCAGCTTGGATGCTGACATAACTGGAAGTAAAGCTGGTGGCTGCAGCAGAGGAGTCGTGGCACTGGAAACAAGGTTAGCAATCGCTTTTAAAATGTAATTTTTACTTGCAATGGGCAGTGGACAGAAGGGTATCTATAGTCTCAAAATAATGATTGTTTCCACCACACACAAAAAATTTAGTATAAAATCATTCATACTGATTGATCTTAGATAAAGTCTTTATTACATTAGATACAATATATAAATGGTCGAGATTAAAGTCATATTCATAGTATAAATAGGAAAATGTACATAATTTCAAAGCTGTTTGTTCAGAATGGATCAGTGCCATTTTATTACTTTGTAGAAAATTGCAGAAACATTTGTTATTTAAAGGAAAACTATAGTGTCAGGGACGTAATTATGTAAAACTTTCTAGCAACTCCATCACCACCCCCTTTGGACTGCTGGGGGTTACCCTGGTCCCCGCTGGGAAAGACTGTATCTCTCATGGAGGTACTACAGAGACATAGACTAAGCCTTCTAGAATACAAACAACCCACTAATGTCAAAGACAACAATCAAGTACCTTTTATTTGTGATTTTAATTTAAAAAGCCATATTTAAAAAAATAACATAAATTATGAACAAATACTGGCCCATCTTAAAGGAGGACCCACTTTTAAACACAATTTTGTCTGATCACCTTAGGATCATTTATAGGGGAGTAGAGAATCTAAAGGACAATCTGGTATGCAACCACATTAATCAAAATAAACCAATATTAAACAGGTTTAACAAATCTCCTGGCTTATATGGATGTGGCATGTGCAGTGCCTGCAAAAATACTAGCAGTAAGAAGAGTACTTAAAAAAATCCATAACCCCCAACAAATAAAAGAAAAGTATACCATCAAAGACCTAATTACTTGTTACTCGAAGAGAGTCATTTACTTGATAGTATGTACTTGTGGACTACTCTAGGTAGAGAGGACCTCAAGGCCTCTCCAAGTCTGTATACAAGAATATATAAGGAACATCAAAAATGGATTTGAAAAACAGTCTTTCACTTCACTTTAAACAGAAACATAATCAGGATCCCACAAAACTATATTACATTTGCATTCAGTTAATAAAAAATAACTGGAGAGGGGAAGATTTGACCAAAAAAATGGGACAGACTGAGATGAAGTGGATCTTCAATTTAAACACACTACTCTTGGGTGGCCTTAACAGCGACTTTGAAATATGCCACTTTAT